TGAACAAGATTAGATCTTGTCGTAAATCTCTGAAAATATTAAAATTTTGAAGTAACACCACTTTACGTTTTCTCCAACATGATCATCAAGCTCCGGACTGAAGACATGCAGTCTTGCTCCTATCGGTGTTGCAAGAAGAATTTCAGAGCTTCTTCCAAATTCTTAGGTTCAATCACATCTCCTTTCATGGAAACGCGAGCAGGATTATAAGATGATGAGTTACCGTATTCTTGGTCATTCTCTCCCTGATTTACGTCATTTCTTCTTTGATAAAAATTTACTGTCACGTCCGAGTTGGAAATTAGGATCAGATAAGTGTGCCATCTGCAATTGCATATGAAATTTACAATGTTCAATAACACATTTCGAATGTAAAACACACAAAATTCATAAGCAAAGTTGGTCTGGTCAGTCATTTTCCTCATAGGCATTAACTTCCTAATTAGGTGAGACATCGAACAAAGTCGAGCAGAGGAAGACATTCCAATCAAACATAGAAAGAAGATATAGCAAAATCAGAAAACACACTAACAAAAAAAAAAAACTAACAATCAGAAGAAACATCCAAGTTCAACATAATCATTAACCATTTCTATCACTGACAAAATCAAGCGAGTAGTTCTTGAGTAAACCACAGGGTAATGTAATGAACGAGCAGTGCTAAGCCTAAAGAAGAGTTCGTCATCATCATTCCAAGAAGAAAGTTAAACCCTAAAACGAAACTAAAAGCTCCACTAATCGCACTGAGAAGGAGAAAAATCACGAGTAGAATCCGTAATTAAACAAAGCGAAGCTAAAAGAAGCCAACTGAGAAACAAAAAGATAAGCTTACCGGAGAAGACGAAAAACGGTGGAGTCAGAAGTAGAAGTGGTGGTGACAGTAGACAATCGCCATCGCGGCAAGGAAGACAATGAGACAAGAGAAATGTCGCTAACTTCTGAAACCCTATTTTCCCGTTAGACTCCTAACCGACGTCGTTTGGGATTCCAGATATCAAACGGTGTCGTTTTCCGGGGTTTCAAATGGTATATTATTAAGCAACCAATTATATCAAAATTTTGTGGAACGAAATATGAGTAAATTGGTCACTGTTTGACGAATATTTAGTGGTTTGCGTCTTGTTAACAAATTTAGTAAAGCAAAAGTCGTAAGAAAATGCTATAATTTTTTATTCAATTAGAAAAAGGAAAAAGAAAATTTAGAAATTAAAATCATGTGGTCTAGTAATTTAGTAGAATGGGTAATGCATTTGTTTTGTTAATCAGTAAAAAATCGTACGGTTTTCTGTTGACCATTTAAATATTTAATTAGAGTATATACCAAAAAGAAAAAGGAAGATATTTAGAAATACCTCATATGTTAATGTTAAACACAAACTGCTTCTCTATCTTTCTCTCTAAGTGCCTAAGCCCGAGCTTTGAACTCGTCACACGTTGCACTGTGTTGTACCATCGCAGACCAGTGAGCTACAAGAGCCAAGCGTAAACACACAACATGTAATACAATTAGATCAACGTAGACTCAACTATCTAAATCTAATCAAGTAATTTATTTTCAGGATTTTTATCTTTTTTTAATATCGGTTCCAAATAAACCCACTAAATTGGTCAATTTTTCATTCAAAACTATATTATTTCTACTTCTTCCATTTTTTATTGTTAGAGACTAGATTTATTTTGAACCTTTAACAATACAAATATTTAAATACAATATATACTATTTCATTTTTTGAAAAACTAATATAACATCTGTATAGATGCAAATTTATTTCATTAAACGATATACATCATTAATATTGTCAATGATATATTTATTTTTTTTTATAAACAATGAATCGCTAGATGTCATATAGTAATAAATGTCAATTGAAAATTTACTGGAACGAGAAAACAACATTGACAACCATTTCACGATTATTTATATGAAAAATAATTTTTTCTTATTTCGTTTTCATTAGAACATGTATCTAGAGATTTTAAGATTTACCATTGACCTAATTTTATTGTGAATGAGATAAAAAAAATGTTACTTTAGTTTTGAGTATCCCGATACAGGCAGTTACGCGGTTTTCACGACTAATATAGCGGTTTAATATAGACACGTCTGCGGATACGAGTACGGTTTAACATAAAAGTACAAAGCTTATAATATCTTTCCATTTTTTTTGGTAAAATTTTCTTAAAATAATCTTTCATAGTAATTTTTTATCATCTTGGTCCAACTCTAGTTAGAAGAAGTTTTGGAAATAAAGCCAAAAAATCAACAAATTATTTGTTACGGATATTTAAGTTTTTGAAATATTTACTGTTTTATTAGTATATTTACAAGAAATTTATCTACCATAGCTATGAAATTAAACAAGATTTTGTACAAGTACTATAGTCTATAGTATAGTTAAAGCAAATCGTATTCTCTATATGTTAATTGAGGAGACACTAAAGTGAAAATCTTATGTATCACCCAATGAGAGTTTCAAGGAACATGTCATTCAAATTAACCAATGAAAACATGTCAATTAATTCTACATATTCTTATTAATTTTATAGCATAAACCAATTAATACATGTTTTGCAAGTCCAACTAAATGTAATTTTAGATTTATCATATCATCTATTTTTAAAACTTCTTTTATATTTTAAAAACTTTATATTATTATATTATTTATTGTGTATATATGTAGTTAAATTAATATGATATATAAAATATTTACACACTTCATTATTGGAAAATATATATTGCTTTTCGTTTATTATGTTCGACAAATTTATATAAATCTAAAATTTATCTGATTTATCATATGCTATATAATTTACACAAATAATAAAAATTAATTTTACACTTAAATATATTGAAATCAGTAACATTTTTATATGTTCTGATCAATTGCACATAAAAATATTAAAACTGATGGCATCAAAATATGCTTGATTAAAATTTAACTTGATTATACTTATCCACAATGCATATCAATTTGTAAGTTTATAAATATTAAAAATCATATGATTTGTCAGACACATTTATATTAAAATATATTTATTTATTTAATTCCAGGTAGATCAAAATTTGGTACATATGATCGAGAAAGACATGCACATGATCTGAAACATGTGCAGATAAAAAATTATAGCCTATAACAGAAAAT